GGATCAATGAGGAACAGATGTATAGCTCCTGTCACACTTTTTAATTCATATTATACTTATTAGTGTGTATCTTGTAATTCACTCTCTCCTTACCAAAAAGAAAAAAAATTGTTTGACTGTGTCATCAGATGGTAAGAGTCAGTCATCTGTCCAGATAAAGAGGCAGATTCAGGATCCTGAGCCAGAGATAGAATGTTTATTCCAGGAAAAAAAATAATAAACTCTCCCTACCTACACTTACTTGTTAAGTCCTGTCACCAAGGAATGATACATTTCCATCTTTGATGAAAATTGTCCAAGAGAACAATTAAGATAAAGCAAACCATCTCTACCTTATAAGTTCCTCAGGAAAATAGCTTATAAAATGTTAACAGGTTTCAGTTTCCAGCAGTCTTTAGGATAAATAGTAATTGGCTGCCCTTTGCTTTAGACAGTGCTGAACAAATCACCACTAGACATTGGATTTGCAGCACATCCACTCAGAATGCACTTCCCTTGGTCCTCTCAATTTGTCACTTCTACTTGGTTGTCCTAGTGACAACGCTAGTAGGTACTAGCACAATGAGCAGGTGCTGGTATATCTGAATTGATATTGTAGATATTGATCTACAGATATTGCAGAGTGTCAGGCAGTTTTCAGAAGAAGATGTCGAAACTATAGATAGTCACATGAAAAAATGATGTCAAGCACTACTGATTAGAGAAATGCAAATTGAAACAACTTGGAGACACCACCTCACACCTATCAGATTGACTAACATGACAGAAAAATGAAAATGATAAATTCTGGAAGGAATGTGGAAAAATTTGAACAGTATTGCACTGTTGGTAGAGTTGTGAAGTAGTCTAATCATTCCAATGAACAATTTGAACTATATTCAAAAGGCTTTAGACTTATACGTGCCCTTTGACCCAGCAACACCAATACTAGAATCTGGATCCCAAACAGATCAAAGAAAAAGATAAAAGACCTATTTGTACAAAAATATTTATAGTAAAACTGTGCATACCCTTTGTTCCAGGAATACCACTTCCAGGGCTGTATCCCAAAGAGATCATAAAAATGGGAAAATGACCCACATGTACAAAAATATTTATAGCAGCTCTTTTTAGGGTGGCCAAGAATTAGAAATTGAGGGGATGCCCATCAATTGGGGAATGGTTAAACAAGTTATGGTGTATGAAATAATGGAATACTATTGTGCTATAAGAAATGATAAGCAGATGGACTTCAGAAAAACCTGGAAAGACTTATATGAACTGATGCTGAGTGAAGTGAGCAGAACAAGGAGAGCAGTGTATACAGTAAAAGCCACTTTGTACAATGACTAAATTTCATAGCCTAGGCTCTTCTTTGTAATGCAAGGATCTAAGACAAATTCAAAAAACTCATGATGGAAAATGCTGTCCTCATCCAGAGAAAGAACTATGGAGTCTGAATGCAGATCAGAGCATACTATTTGCTCCCTTTTTTGTTGTTGTTGCTGTTGCCCTAGAGGCAGCTAGAAGGAGAGATTAAGGAAGATCTGAGTTCAGATTATTACATTACAAGATGATTCAAAATCTAGACCTAGTGTAAAAACCCAAATCTGGAACTGATGCTGGAGATCTGAGTCAACAGAAGAAAAAACAAACAAACAACAAATATTATAGGACAATAGATACCCAAGAGATGCACCTAGGAAAAGAGAGAAACCACACAGCGATTACAAGGATGAACTCAGAGAAAAAATGTCTTGGTCACAAGGACTAAAAGGGTAAATGAAAGAAAAGAATTAGGAGATTTCTTAAAATGAAATTATAAAGGAAATAAAATTTCTTAAAAAAAAGAATTTGAAGTAGAATTAATACCCTAGAACATAAGGCAAAACACCATATTCAAGTAGCAGACTCCCTGAAAATTGGAATGGAGCAAATAAAACTCAATTATCTTATGAATTAAAAGGAAATATTAAAACAAAATTAAAAGATTGAAAAAGTAGAAGAAAAGGTAAGGCATTTATTATTTTTTAAAATGACCTAGAAAACAGGTCAAGGAGAGATAGTTGAAGTATAAAATATGTGCTGGGGGGGAAGTAAGACTTGTCTCAATATATAGGCATGGCTCACAGATGGCATGATTAGACATTATGGGATGCACCATCAGCATTCCATCTGACCAATCACATGATACTCTTCATTATACTATGTCTATTTGATATATGGTTGATGGCACTCTAAAGTGATTCCTTGGAATGCTGGATTAATCATATTAGTTACTGCTGTGAAGCAGATTTTGTGAGGGACTTCAAAATTTTGAATCCTCAGGATAATTATCATGGCCTGAGAAGGTTTGGGCTAGTTGTCAAGAAAGGTAACCTAAGTGCCTAAAGACCCTGTGGTTTGTATTGTCGGTCAGCATGAGAGAGAGGGCTCCTGTGATATCAGGACCAATGATAGAATTTTCCAACATTGCTGGAATTTCTTTAAATCTCTCTGGAGAGAGGGAAATGAGAGAAGAGTGGAAAGTAGAGTGCAGCGGTAAGACAGCATCAGCAATGTAAGGTCAGTGGTAGCAGCATCAGTTAGTCCTGGGAGACTAACTCTAAGCCTTAGAGGAGCTAGAGGCATTTCCTTTCCCTGGCTTGAATTATTGAAAAAAAAAAAAAAAAACTAGCAGAGTGAATGAATGCTGGCTTCTCAGAGAAACCACTGGGAAAATGGTGAATTTACTCCACTCTCTGTTTCTTTCCACTTTTTATTACCAATTACATTGGGTTGAATTTAGCAGTCAGTTAATTCAGCTGGCTGGGAGATGACTTTCCAAGCTTGCCTGAATGCTTGGAGAATCTCATGAATTCCTCTTCAAATTGCTACTTTCAACTTTTTTTTAGCTTTGCCCCTAAAGAAAGCCACATGGAATTGGTACTTTTGCCCTAAACTGAAATCCTCATGAACAAATCTCGTTATCTCCAAGCAAACTAAAGTGGAGACAAATGGGGTGTAGTAGAGACTTCAGGAGACTTTGAGCCAGCCACAGTGACCTCTGCTGGGAAACAGCAACAAAATAAAGTCTGAGATGGGCTAAAGCTAAATCAAGGTCTGGTTGCTAAGTAAATAGTCAACAATGAGGAAGGATGCAGGATCCAAGATTAGAGACAAAGGATTCCTGATCTCACTAGCCTTGACCAACACAGTTTCTTCTCTGTGATCAGGGTAACACACTGCCCTTCTACTGAACTGAAAGATGCACATCCTACCTCTGCCTGACCATTAGGCTTCATGAGCCATAGTTGTTATAACACAGTGAGGCGAATACACCAGAGGACACGTCACAAAGGAAAAGGAAAGTAAATGAATGAAAACCACTCATTGTGGAACCAAGTGCTGCCCACTGCACACAGAACACTGAGCTCAAACTTGCTCTAATTAACCATTTTCTGAGCCTAATAAATACAGAATTATTCCTTTCTTCCCAGGATGATTTGCTTATTGACAATCCTGTCAATTTTTCTGGGAAAGCAAAATGCAAAGACTGACCAGAAAATAGAGAAACAAGGAAAATGAGACTTCTTCTGTTGACATAGCCAGAGTTTTCACTCCTGAGTTGTTGGTAACTGAAAGGAAAATGTAAATAATTCCTTCATAAATGGGTTTAAAAGAATGCCATGGTTTACCGAAATTTCAACCACCAACTAAGCAAGGGCTCCTGAAGACTCATCTTTTTCCTGTCACAGGAAAATCCATAAAAAAATTATCTCTAGTGGAATTTTATTGGTCAAGATTTACCAAGAGATTCTGGAAAGTACATCAAGAATCCAACAGAGCATAACTACTGAGAGTTTATCATGACAATCTATATGGCTGTATGCTGAACATTACAGGTGATATTATTAAGAGTGTGATTGGTGTGGAGGGTGTGTTGCAAAGGGAAGGAAGTGATGTTTGGCTTACATGGTTGAAGTAACATATATTGTAAGGTCCCTGCCACATAGGCAAGGCTAGTTTTTCCCTAAATAGTAATGAAACTGTCTTCAAGACTGGGTTGGCCCACAGGCTGACTTTCATAAGGCTCAGGCCAAAGACATAGATTCCAAGTGGCCTAAGTACAAAAGCCCTTCAAGTGCTGAGATGCCCAGAGTCTCTGTGTGCACTATCAGCAGGGTCTTCATTCTTTCAGAAGCTTCCACGAAAGAGAAATGGTTTGACAGGCTCTTCTAAATGATCTGTTAAAGAAAACCAACTACACTGAAACACAGATACATACATTATACACACACACACACACACACACACACATAGATATACACACATATGTGTGTGTGACAGAGAATGGAGGGTTCTGTTCCATACAGATAATGAGTTTCTATGTCACATAAAGATAGTGGAATCAGCCCTTGACATACCACAATGTACAATCCACTGGATAGGTGTGTGAAAATGAAAAAGGGAATAGATAATTAAATAAATAGGTATAGATACACACACAACACACACGCACATACACACACACAAATATTTTTATGTTTTGGGGAGAGTCACTCTTCAAAACATCTCTTCCATCCAGTCCCTTCACCCTTCACCAGTTTCAGATACCTCTCCAGTGGACTGTACTTCCTGGTATAACAAGGACTAATTCCATTCTCTTTATTTGACATTAAAACTCATTATCTGTGTGGAACAGAACCATCCATTTTCTCTGACTCTGACCCCTCCTTTCTCTGTGTGATACTAAATCCTGCAACTATTTGCATCCTAGCAAAGATCTTTCAACCACTATTGGTTGGGCTTTCATCCACTAAATGACATTTACTACCCAAGTAATTGAGAAAACTCCAAGACTCAAGTCTGAACTAGAGAACAACAGTAGACCAGACTGGAAGGAGCAATTGCAAGACTGACCCTGAAGAATTTCTGAGCACTCTGGACAGAGGCAGCAGCACAAGCAAGTAAGAGAAGGACAAAAGGTACTACTGACACTGTGGAAAAGCAGGTGCCTGTGTGTGCTTACTTACCTCAGATCAGAGAAGCTGCAGAACGGTAGCAAGGCTGCAGAAAACAGAGAGATTACCAAGGTGGGGAAATCCATCTGCAGACATGCTGAACTCATTCCAAATCTTTTTTTTGCTCATGGCCTTCAGTCAGTTCATTCTGGGGATTTTGGGGCATGGCTTTCTTGGGCTCATCAATTGCATCCCCTGGATCAAGAGGAGCAAGATTTCCTTATCTGACTTCATCATTATGAATCTAGCCTTCTCCAGGCACTTCCTGCAATGTGTGGTCATTTTCGATACCATTATCATGGTGCTCTATTCTGATTTGCATTATGAAACTCCATTAAGTCAAATTCGTGAAACTAGTTGGATTCTTAGTAACCATTTAAACATCTGGCAGTCCACCTGCCTCAGTGTCTTCTACTGCCTGAAGATTGCCATTTTCTCCCACCCTGCCTTCCTCTGGCTTAAGTGGAGAATTTCCCAGGTGGGAAATCCTTTTTCTTCAATACAGCGTGGCTGATCCGAAAATTCAGTATGTATTCTGGACTCCTGAAAACGATACTCACTGCAAACTACACTGAACATGTCAGAAGAAAGGAAAGAGAATTTTATGTCTCCAACCTTCTTGGTCTTCTGTGGGCACTGATACCTTTCATTATATCCCTCTTCTCCTGTCTCTTACTCATCCTCTCCCTAAGAAGGCATACCAGGATGATGCAGCACCATGTCACTGCTCCCAGGGATGTGAGCACTAAGGCCCATGAGAGAGCCACTGTTGTAATGTTTTCCTTCCTCCTACTCTTTGTCTTTCATTTTGTCTTTCTCTTCATTGGAACAGCAAGCGCTTTCCTGAGATATGCCAAGGTGTTAATGGTTATAGAGTTGGCTATGCCTATCTAACCCTCTGTGCATACATTTATCCTCATTCTGCAAAACAAAAACCTGAAGCAGGCATTCCTGAGGCTGCTGTGTTGAAGAAGGGCTGCGTGAAAAGTCGGGTAAAGGAATCTTTTAATGACCAGTTCAAGGTGGGAAGGGGAGAGCAGTATAGGTTCTTCAAATCTTTTAAAAATCTACTATTCTAAAGAGCCACGTGGCATAGAAGGGAGAGGATTGGACCTAGAGTTAGAAAGTCAAATTTTGCCTTAGACACTTACTAGCTGCATTACCCTGGGCAAGTCATTTAACCTCTCTCTCCCTCATTTTCCTCATCTGTAAAATGTAAATGATAATATTTGTACCTAACTCACAGGGTTGTTGTGAGAATAAAATGAGAAAATATGATTAAAGCTCTTTGCAAACCTTAAAGTACTACAGAAATGCTGGCTACTATTATTATTGTTACCATTATTTACCTCTCTCTCCTCTTTCTGTCTCTCTGTCTCTCTATACATATATATGTATATATCGATATATACATATAGGCATATTATATATATAAAATGACATCCATAAATTTTTCTTTACAAAAAGTAACTTTTCAAATAAATTAAGACACTCAATGAAATGTGAATTTTATTTCAAAAGTTCATGTTTGGTATCCAATCATTCAAAACTGTTAAATAATATGTGTATATAACATATTAGATATAGATTAAACATATACATAGAAAAGGGTTTACCGTTTGGGAGCAGAACAGTTTACTATAGAGATCCTATGTTTGGACAATACTATTGAAAGGATGACCAGTGATAAGAGACAAAGACTAATGTCTTTGAAATAGGCAGGTGTCTGTTGTAATCATGTTTCCATATGTCATACATTTGGAAAGCTGCAGAGAGAGAAAGGGAGGTTTGAAGAGGAGGTGTGTGGGGTGAGGGGATAAGAGATAATAATAATTATACTATCTCTTATTTATATGGTGCTTTATAAAGTGGTTTTATCAGATCAATGCTGGGAGGTAGATAGTACAATTATATTATCCCAAGGTAAAACGAGGTGATCAGGAAGCTGGGGCTCATATAGAACAGATATGATCCTGGAGGCCGCTCTAAATAGGATCGTTTTTTTCTTACTTTGACTTGTTGCTCCCACCTGAAGTGGGGGTGAAATTTTCCTGGGATACTCACTGTAGAGTGATTTCTAAGTTTCTCCAAATGAGAATAAAAGTAGGCCCCAGCTTCTGCACATGTACTCAAGGCAGCAATGCCTTAAACCTTTATATCACCCTACAGAAAATACAGCAGACACAAATCACTCATAGGAGTTCAGAAACAAATTTTTAAAAATGCTACAAATATGCACCAAAAGCCTTCAAATAATCCCTAAGCTCCCTCCAGAAGGGAACTGAACAGGGGGTGACTACTGGGGCAACCCTTTGAGATTTCAGTGAGTCTTCTTCCTCCCAGAGTCCTACATTGTAACCCCTCCCCCACCAAACCTGAAAGTACCACCTTGTAATTTAGCATTCTCCTAGAAAAAAATATACATATAGGTGTTTATATATATATATATATATATATACACATACGTATACACACACACACACACACACACACACACACATAAACACAGAGCCACTAAAGCTAACAATCCTTTTCCCACTGGACCTGTAATGTTCCAGTTATTCATTTGCTGCTTTCCAAGCAAGATGCTGGGCAAAATATATAGATAATACTCTTCTTTCTCAAAGAGCCATGCTGCATCAGGAGATCTACTCCTCAAAAGGTGGGATCTCAGGGAATTCTGGGTCATGTGAACAGCAAAATGGAGGACTAGACATTTTCTAGAATCCTTGCTAACTATCAGGGGAGAAAATGAGCCAGAGGTACAGCAATTACAGCTGAATTCACAGAAGAAATAAAGCAAGAGGCCCAAAGAGGTAACAGACTTCTGAATTAATAGTGGAAGATGCTAACCCCCATCACATGCATTCAACACCCCTCCACCACCAATCTTCAGTCTATTGCAGGGTGAACAATCCATATCAGCACAAAGTGACCCATGGGCTTATACTTTGCATTCCCCTCCTGCTACAGAGAGTCTACAGGCACACTCGTGTTCATTCCCTCAATCTTTTCTGGATGCCACTATTAACTCTCCACACTTCTTTTTCTACCATATCTCAATAGCCTTCTTATCCTGAAACATCACTCCTCACCAGAACTGTCATATGCACTCTTTCATTCTTATATGGAATTCTTCTCTTGACTCTCTGGAATTCTTTATCCAACATGCCCCAACATGGGTACTTTCCTTCCAAACCCCTGTTTAGCCATATGTGTTGCCTTCCCCCATTAGAATGAAGCTCCTTGACTTCTGCTTCCAGGAGCCAAGATGGTGGAGTAAGAGGTGAGTCTCTCTTGCTTTCCCTTATTAACCCCTGAAAGCCCAAAAAATATCACCCCAGAAAAAACTCTGGAACAGCTGAACCAGAAGAAAGATGGGGTGCAGCAGTCCAGTAGCCCAGGTAGCTTGAGGGATTAACTGGAAAGGCCCCTCTCACCCTGGGAAAAGGGGAACGGTACAGAATGGGAGGCATCTTGGCAAGCTAGTGGAAAACCCCACCTCAGCATACCAGGAGGAGATCCTGAAACCCAGGTGGTAGAGCAGGCAAACACCAACACCTGAACCCCAAGTGCCTTATTGAGGGTGGGGGAACTGGTAGAAACCAGTTCAGAAAACCACCAGGTGCCTTGGCATTCTACAGCAACCAGCTCTCCCAGTGCCTCAGCAAAACTAAAGGAAGCAGAGCTCAAAGGGGCCCCAGGCAGATAAACATCCTATAACATCCATCTAAAAAGAGCTGAAGAAAGCAAAAGGAAGAAAAGGCCTGGGTGAGCAGAAAATCTCTAGGAGCCACACTACCTAATCTTACCCCTAGAGTTCTAATACTGTTGTTTCCAGCCCAACACCAGGTAAGCTGCCAGAATCCTACAGTCTCCAACTGCCAACATTGGAGGCCCCAGTACACAAAGCCAGTGACCAGGCCCTAGGCTCCCAACACAAGAAGCTTGGGTCACTGCCCTCTGCTCCCCAGCAGGACAGTCCAGTCTATATTGGGCTAGGAAATAAGCAAACACCATGAGCAAAAAGAAACGTACGATAGATTCTTATTATGGGAAAAGTAAAGATCAAGGCTGAAATTCTGAAGAGGACAACATTGTCAACAAACCCACATCTGGAACCTCAAAAGGGAATATGAACTGGTCTGAAGCCCAAAAAGCCTTCTTAGAAGAGCTCAAGAAGGATTTTAAAAGTCAAATGAGAGAGATAGAAGAAAAAATGGGAAAAGAAATGAAAGGTATGCAAAAGAGTCAATAGATTGGAAAGGGAAGGACAAAAATTAACTGTAGAAAACAAGTCCTTAAAAAATACAACTGGCCAACTGGGAAAAAAAAGTACACTGAAGAAAACAAGTCCCTAAAAAATGCAATTGGCCAAATGGGGAAGGAGGTACAAAATCTAATAGAAGAAAACAATTTGTTAAAAATTAGAATTGGGCAAATGGAAGCTAATGACTCTATGAGAGAGCAAGAATCAGTCAAACAAAAACAAAAGAATGAAAATGTAAAATATCTCATTGGTAAAACAACTGACCTGGAAAATTGATCTGGGAGAGACAATTTAAAAATTATTGGTCTACCTGAAAATCACAATGAAAAAAAAAAGACCCTGGACAGTATTTTTCAGGAAATCATAAAGGAAAACTGCCCTGAGGTCCTAGAGCCAGAGGATAAAATAGCCATAGAAAGAATCCACCGATCACCTCCTGAAAGAGATCCCAAATTGAAAACACCAAGGAATATAGTAGCCAAATTCCAAAATTACCAGGTCAAAGAGAAAATACCACAAGCAGCCAGAAAGAAACAATTTAAATATCATGGAATCACAGTCAGGATTACACAGGACCTTGCAGATTCCACATTAAAAGACCAGAGGGTGTGGAATAAGATATTCCATAAGGCAAAGGAGCTTGAATTACAGCCAAGGATCCAGCTAAAATGAGCATGATCTTTCAGGGGAGGATATTCAACAAAATAGGGGACTGCCATAACTTCCTGATAACAGAAAATTTCAACAGAAAATTTGATCTGCAAATACAAGACTCAAGAGAGACATAAAAAGGTAAACAGGACAGAAAGTAACAACATGTTGTTAATAAGAACAAACTCTTTACATCCCTACAAGAGAAGATGACACTTGTAACTCTTGAGAACTGCATTGTTATTACATCATGTAAAAGGGGTATACATAAAAGGGGTGGGTATAAATTGACTTCGATGTAATGAAAAAAATCTAATCAAGTATGTTAAATGGATCCAAGTAAGTGAATTAATCTGATCTAACTAAGAAAATGTACTGAGAGAAAAAGGAAGGAGGAGTCAGACAAGGGTAAATTACATCACAGGAAAAGGCACAAAAACCTATTACAGAGGGAAAGAAGAGAGGGAGATGAGCATTGTCTGAACCTTACTCTCATGAGATTTGGCTTAAGAAGAGATTAACATAATGAGTTAGGTATAGAAATCTAACATGCCCTATAGGCAGTAGGAGGGAAAAGGGGAAAGAAAAGGGAGGGGGCTAATAGAAGGGAGGTGGGACTGAGGGAGGATGTGGTCAAAAGCAAAACATTAGTGAGGAGGGAAAAGGAGAAAGGAGAAGGAAAAGCATATGCGGGGGGGGGGAAAGGATGGAGAGAAAGACACAGATAGTTATCATAATTGTGCATGTGATATATGAATGTAATAGAATACTATTGTGCTATAAGAAATGATGAATAGGCAGACTTCAGATAAATCTAGAAAGACTTGTGTGGTTTGATGCTGAGTGAAGTGAGCAGAACCAGGAGAACATTGTACACAGTAACAGCCACATTAAGTGATGATTGACTTTGATAGACTTAACCCCTCTCAGCAATACAAGGATCTAAGACATCTCCAAAAGCCTCATGATGGAAAATGCTATCCACATCCAAAGAAAGAATATGCACATCAAAGCATACTATTTGCTATTTTTTTCTTCTGTTGTGTTTTGTTTCCTCTTTCTGGTGGTTCC